AACGATCACAATGAGAAAATCCCACCAATGGAATGAATAGAATATTGATGTTATTGTATGTAATACTTTTCATTATTTTACATTAATGCTTTTTCTAGTGTTTATTGCTGACGCCATGTGATGTCAACTTAAAACGCTGACAAACACATTGCTTCAAGTTTATATTCAGAAATGTTGGTTTTGAAAAATGAAAAGTATAACTGAAGACTCTTTAAAAATACATGGGCGCAAACAAATGGGAAAGGATGATAATCTATAGTTTTAATGATGTGTTTGTAAACTGTGTATGATTGAAACATCTTTTCATTTCATTTTCATGTGTAGCCCTTCCTACTAAAACTATGGCATCTGACTTTCCTTCTATGGTGACTTTCACCAAATGAAAAATTAAGATCTTGGATGCAATGTAAATTTCAAACATGCTATTTCAAATGTCTAAGAAAATATTGGGGAGAAGATTGAAGATACAAAAGAATGATCACATTCTTTTAAAATTATGTGGATCAGCTACATTGATTCTGTTTTTATGTTCAGATGAGTAAAGAAATAACTGAAAAAAAAAAGAAAAAGTACATGGGCAACAAGAAGGAATATACTGAATTAAAAAAAAATAAAATAATGTATTCTGTAAGGTAAAAAAACCCACCAAATCACACCGTGATAATAACCCTGTGAACAAGCGGAGTGTGATCCGTGTAGCTGGGAAGAGACCAGAGGGAACTGAGGCATGTAAGAATTGCAGTGTGTGGTGGGAGCGGGTCGCTGGAAAGCTCCTCTCCTGGCTTGGAGCAGGGAGCTCCAAAGGCCCCTGCCAGCAAGGCCCCTGCCAGCAAGGCCCCAGGCTCGCGGGCCAGCAAGGCCCCTGCCAGCAAGGCCCCTGCCAGCAAGGCCCCAGGCTCGCGGGCCAGCAAGGCCCCTGCCAGCAAGGCCCCTGCCAGCAAGGCCCCAGGCTCGCGGGCCAGCACTGGACCTAATCCAGCAGAGGAAATGTGCCCCGTCTGACACGATGTAGCAGTGACGGGCCCGGCCACGCCAGTTCATCCGAAACCTGTAAAATCAGTCCCGAGGACAGCGCACATCCTAGTATTGTGTGCGGTGGTTTTAAAAGCTTGTTTTTGACCATGAACTACAATAAGAAATACATTTTCTTTACAGACTGGTGTTCTTGGCATTAAGTGTGCAGAGTGCAAGCCTGAGATGGGTGGGGTGGGTAGGAGGAGGGGAGGAAGCTCCTGGCTTTGGATCTGCTCAGCGTGGGTCACGTGGCCACTGGGGGAGGCTCTTCCTCTCTGTTTCCACTTCTCTCTGTTATTCTGCCCTTCCAATAAAAATAAATAAATCTTAAAAAAAGTAAAAATCAGTCAGCTCATATGGATAGCTTTCTACACTTATAGCCAAGATTTCTAACCTGGTCCTTGTTTCTATCGCTCTGGAACCGTGGTCTTTCTACCTTCTACTCTTAGTGGTGGATTAGATCTGTGACTGTGGAGAAGACTGAAATGATGCCTTTGCAAAAATGTAAGGAAAAAAGGAAAGCAAGGGAGGGGAGTTGGGGGAGAGAGGAGGGATTTTCTTACAACCGTAACTTTTTAAAAAGAAAAAAGATTCATTTTTCTTGGAAAGTCAGATTCATGGAGAGAAGGAGAGACAGAAAAAGAGCTTCCATCTGCTACTTCACTCCCCAAGTGGTTGCAACAGCCAAATCGAGCTGATCCAAAGCCAGGAGTCAGGTGCTTCTTCCAAGTCTCCCATGTGGTGAGGACTTTAGCCACTAGGCTACTGCCCCTGACCCCCTTAGAGTCGTTATCTTTAGGGTCTGGCACAATGACTTAATTGGCTAATCCTCCTCCTTCCTTTCCTTCAAGAGCTGTGATCCTGTACAGGCACCAGTTTGTATGGTGGTTGCTCCACTTCCCATCCAGCTCACTGCTTGTGGCCTGCGAAAGCAGCAGAGGATGGTTCAAAGCCTTGGACCTTGTACCTGCATGAGAAGCCTAGAAGAGGCTCCTGGCTCCTGGCTTCCAGCCAGTGTGGCCATTTGGGGAGTGAACCAGTGGACAGGAGATATTTCTGCCTCTTCTTCTCTATAAATCTGCCTTTCCAATAAGAATAAACAAGTCTTTAAAACAATGTATCTACACAGTACTTGAAACCAATTGTCCTTATTATAAAAAAATTTAAAAAAAATTCTATCTTGCATTCTAAGTATGAAGAAATTGAATAATGATTTTTAACTTCTTAGGTGTTTACAACTGACCAAAAGTTTTGAGTGGAGAATTTAAACAGAAACCCATGACAAGCTGAGGCAGCTTCTGGGACGTGAAGGCTATGTGCAATACATGCTGTATGATCCCATAGGAGCGCATGTGTTTGCAAGGTGAGCATTAGCCATCGAGCCATCGTGCTGGGACCCTAAATACTGACTAAAAAACAAAGTTTTCATTTTATTTGAAAGGCAGAGAGACGGAAAGATTTCTTTGTAAGTCTGCCATTGAAGAAAACATAAATCTTTAAAAAAAAATAAGACTCGTTTCTTCCATGTGTGAATATCATGGAGTTCTTTTTTTCCCCAAATGTTTATTTGAGTTGTAGAGACGGAGGTACAGAGAGGGATCTTCCACCTGCTGATTCAATCTGCAAATGGTACAATGGCTGGTGCTGAGCTGATCAAAAGACAGGAGCCAGGAGCTTCTTCTGGGTCTCCCAAGTGGGTGCAGGGTCCCAAGGACTGGAGCCATTGTTCTGCTGCTTTCCCAGGCCATTACCAGGGAGCTGGATAGGAAGTAGAGGCCGGGGCCTGGATCAGCACCCATACATGATGCTGGCAGTGCAGGTAGAGAGTTAACCCACTATACCAGGCTTCTGGGAAAAGGATGAATACAATTTAAACTTTGAACACTTCAGTTAGGTATTTTGTATTTTTCACATTTTCTTGAATGAAAGAATGCATGATTCCATTGCAAGAATCCACGCCACTTAGTTCTGAAAGGCAGACTCGATCCTTTTCTGCTGCTAATAAGACCCGTCAGGAGTCATGGATTAGTGTAACATTCCCATTTGAAGGAGGGCTGCTGATCCCCGTGAATTTGTCTTGCTGCGTCCCACAGATGGTCCTTTCTCCAGAGGAATAGGCCCACTGAGGAGTTTCCTCCCTTTTCCCGCTCCCAGCAAGTTGCAAGGTGTGGAGTGGGGAGCAAGGCCAGAGCAGCGGTGCAGTCCTGCAGGGCGTGGCCGCCGCGGTCAGCCAGTGAAACCCCCTCTGTTCTGATGTGCTTCAGGCTGTTCTTTCTGAGCCTCGGTTTACTATTTTTATTTGAGAGGTGGAGGGACAGAGAGAGGCAGAGACAGAGAGCTGCTATAGGCTGGTTCACTCCACAGATGGCTGTAAGAGCGGGGCTGGCCAGCAGCCAAGAACTCTACTCCAGGTTCCCACATGCGAGCGGAGGTGCGTCCTCAGGCCACCCTCCGTGGCCCTCCCGGCTCAGCAGCAGCAGGGAGCTGGATCAGAAGCGGTGCAGCTGGAACGTGAATGGCTATGCCATGCCATCCCAGCTTTTTTCACTTTAAAAATGAGGGTAATGCTTTCTTGGCAGAGTTACGGTGAAGCTAAGGAGGGGAAGTAGGGAACACAACTGGCGGATAGCACAAACTTGACAATGGCAACTGTTGCTCTTACATTTGAGCAGCATTTCATAAAACCTTTACCGAGGGGCCCGGCGCGGCCTAGCGGCTAAAGTCCTCACCTTGAATGCGCTGGGATCCCATATGGACGCCGGTTCTAATCCCGGCAGCTCCACTTCCCATTCAGCTCCCTGCCTGTGGCCCGGGAAAGCAGTCGAGGACGGCCCAATGCTTTGGGACCCTGCACCCGCGTGGGAGACCCACCTCAACAGGAATGACCCAGCCCCAAACGTCAAACGTAGTTGAGAAAACCTGGCATATACATTAAGTGAAAGTTACAGCGGGCCATTGTCTTAGACTAAGCTCCTGCATTTGGCTCCAACAGACGAGGCTGAAGATCAAACTGCGGTCACCCAGCTTGAAGTGTCATGTCACCAAACTAAAGCTAAAAGTTGTTATCTGACCTCCCCTCCAATCAGGATAGATAATAACAAAATTTCCCAAACAGACCAGTTTCAATCAGGATGATAATGAAATTCCTTGCAGTGTAATCCTTCCAAGAAACAAGCTGAAGTAACAGGATGTTAACCAATCAGCTGTTTCTCCATTGTTCTGTTCCCTGCTTCTACTACTTGTGAAGAACAGCCAGAAGTGACCAGTTTGTATCCTTCATCCATCATCCCCTCTCCTGTGCCCTTCGCAGCGAGCCTGTTCTGCTCAGCACTTATGAAGTGTTGCCTGACTCTACAGTCACAAGACCAACCAAGACCTTTTCTCTCTCTCCCAAATTCATGTTATCTGACAGGCAGAAAGACACACACACACACAGAGAAACTGAAATCTTGCATCCTACTGGTTCATTCCATCAATGCCTGCAACAGCCGGGGCTGGGCCAGCCCAGGCCTGGAACTCAGGGTTCAGTGTGTTCAGTCTGAGTCTCACACATGGTTTCTGCTTCCCTAGTATGCACAACAGCAGGCAGCTGGACCTAATGCAGACAAGCTGGGACTTGAATGAGGCCCTCAGACATGCCAGGCAGGCGTCCTAGCCATTACGACCCACTCTCCTCGAACATGATAAAACTTTCATGAGAAAAAGATAAATTTTTCCGTAGCACGAATGCACAAATGAAATATAAGAAAAAAAAAGAAAGCCCAAACACAGAATCAGCAATTCACGCCCAGTAACTGACTATCACTGGGTAGCTGCAGCATCTTCTAGGAAACTGCACAAATGATTTCTCGAGATGTAAGGTGTTTTACTATTTATGTCATGGCATTTAACCTTGGCATTTCTGTAGTCTAGAAAATATACTCACCAAAAAAAAGTTATGCTTAAAATGCATTAAACATTAATCAAAGTTTCAAAATGTAAATCACAGTATATGAAATTTATTTTGTAACAAAATAGAGACAAAATCAAAATATAAAGTATATGATTGTTTGTACTTTGTACATTCTGATTATGTTGAACTTGGTTAATCAAACATTAGCTAAAATAAATATTAAATTAGCTATTTAAAAATATATCTACTACATGATTACAATGAACTTTTCCTTTCATGAGCTAAAGGACTTCAAGAGTGAAGGATGGCACAGCAAGTTCTTTTCAGCCAAAACATTAGGTTTTCATCTTTGGTTTCTTAGACCACTCAGGAGCTTCTTTTTTAGTCTGTTGAAAGAAAAAGAAAAAGGAACTCAAACAGAATGACAAGAAAGGTAGTAACTTCAGAGAACTAGTTCAATATCCATGTTTTTTTTCTTTTTTTTTAAAAGATTTATTTTATTTTTATTGGAAAGGCGGATATACAGAGAGGAGAGACAGAGAGGAAGATCTTCTGTCTGATGATTCACTCCCCACATGAGCGCAACGGCTGATGCTATGCCGATCCGAAGCCAGGAGCCTCTTCCTGGTCTCCCACGTGGGTGCAGGGTCCCAAAGCTTTGGGCCGTCCTCGACTGCCTTCCCGAGCTGCAGGCAGGGAGCTGGATGGGAAGCGGGGCTGCCGGGATAGAACCGGTGCCCATATGGGATCCCAGGGGTGCAAGGCGAGGACCTTAACCACTTGCGCCACCGCTCCGGGCCCACCATGTTTTTTTTTCAAAATGCAAACGATAACAAGTGTTGTTCTTAATTCAGATGTATGTGTAAAGGAAAGGTCGTGTGTTCTGCTGAAAGTAATTCCTACCTGGCATATACGCACAAAAAACCCACATGTCTATATTTTCTTTTTTCCTCCTCAATAAAGGATTTATTGGGGCTGGCATGGTGGCTCAACAGGCTAATCCTCCACCTGCAAGTGCCAACACCCCACACGGCTGCCAGTTCATGTCTCACTCCCCATCCAGCTCCAGCGGAAAGGAGTGGAGAACGGCCCAAGGTCTTGGGATCCCCCTGACCCGTGTGGCACACCTGAAGAGGTGGTGACAGCCATCTGAGGAGTGAACTTGTGCATGGAGAGCTTTCTCCTCTTTGTAAATCTGCCTTTCCAATGAAAATAAGTAAATCTTTCAAAAAATTATTTGAAAGGGGGAAGGAAAGAAAGAGAGAGCCAGAGCTATGGATTAGGCCGCCAGTGTGGAAAACATGCAGAGAGCAGGGAGTGTGGAGCCCCAGCCTGGCCTCCCACGGGACAGTGGTGGCCCGGGTATTTGAATTAACTTCCTCTGCCTCCCAGGCACATTCGCAGGAAGCTTTAAGGAAGCAGAGTAGCTGGGACTTGAACCAGGCACTCTGATATGGGCTGTAGACAATTCCAGTAGTGGCTTAACCAAACTTGCAGTGTTGCTACAGCAGCTCCACGTCTGCATTTTCTGACTTCATTTCTTTAAACGTATCCTACAGAGACCACTGTCTGATGACCTGCTTCTACTTTTGGTGAGAGTGATACAAAATAAGGTTATGACTTCTTTTTATTCCATCCATGTAGATTCATGAACTCAAGACGTATTTACTGAAAAACATTTTAAACATCTATATTTATTTGAAAGACAAATATCACAGAAAAATATGGAGAGGCAGAGAGAAAGCAAGAGAAAGAGACCCTCCACCTGCCCATTCATTCTCCAAGTGACTGCAATGGCTGGAACTGGGCTGGTGCGAAGCCCAGAGCCTGGAGATTTTTTGGGTCTCCCATGAGTGATGGTGCAAGGGCCTGGGGACTTGGGATGTCCTTTGTTGCTTCCCTAGACGTACTAGCAGGGAGCTGGACCGGAAGTGGAGCAGTCAGGGCTTGAAAGGGTGTGCATATGGGATGCTGGCACCACAGGTGGAGGCTAGGCATAACTTATGATGCCACAGCAATAGCCCCTATGGAAGAATTATTACAAATAAATTACTGTAGTTGGATCCTCTAAATGACCAAGGACTTCTCAGAGTTATTTTTGCGTTTATTGCTTAGTTAGTTCAGCCTGAAAGAAGCCACACTGTGGACCGGCACAGTGGCCTAGTGGCTAAAATCCCTGCCTGCACATACTGGGATCCCATATGGGAGACGGTTCATATCCACTTCCCATCCAGCTCCCTGCCTGTGGCCTGGGAAAGCACTGGAGGACGGCCCAAAGCCTTGGGACCCTGCACCCACGTGGGAGACCCGGAAGAAGCTCTTGGCTTTGGATCAGCTCAGCTCTGGCTGCTGCGGCCGCTTGGGGAGTGATTCAATGGACGCAAGATCTTCCCCTCTGTCTCTCCTCCTCTCTGTATATCTGACTTTCCAATAATAATAAATCTTAAAATAAAAAAAGTATATTGCACAATACACTAAGAAAAGAGCAGAGAAGGAAAACATTACAATTAAGCATTCGGAACTCCTTATTCAGGCACTGCTTCCAAGCAGAACATGCTATTTAATAAAATATAGTAAGTTAAATATGCAGTTTATTCTTTAACCCTTGTATCTCTTTAAAACAATGAAGGACCATATTCCAAAGCACGTATGCTCATGCACATGTAGGGAAGTTTGAGAGTTTCTGCTTTCATCTTCCTTTACTGTTTCATATGTTGAAGTGAAGCCATGGTCCTGTCGTGACCCTGTCTATAGTCTTGGCCAGCTTCTATCACCTTCACAATAAGGCACTACACTTTCGTCGCTGACCCAGCTCATTTGTACACCAGTCCTCTAAGAAGTGTTAAAAACATTCATCATGGGCCAGGTGCAATAGTGTAGTGGTTAAAGTCCTTGCCTTGCACGCACTGGGCTCCCTTTGGGCGCCGGTTCTAATCCTGGTGGCTCTGCTTCCCATCCAGCTCTCTGCTTGTGGCCTGGGAAAGCAGTCGAAGACGGTCCAAAGCCTTGGTACCCTGCAGCCGTGTGGGAGACCTGGAAGAGCTCCTGGCTCCTGGCTTCAGATTGGCTCAGCTCCAGCCTTTGCAGTCACTTGGGGAGTGAATCATTGGACGAAGATCTGTCTCTCTTCCTCTCTGTATATCTGCCTTTCCAATAAAAATAAATCAATCTTTATGAAAAATATTCATCTAAACCAGAAATGCTCTAGTCTTTTCTTCCCTTCAGATGTCCACATGCATCTGAACAGTCCCTCGTTCTTCCTGAAATATCTTCTTAACGCTTGGCCAGTTTCGTCCTGATCCCACGGGCTGCCCTTGCCTTTCTTCTCTTAGAGTTCAGTTTCTGCAAGAGCTTCCTGTTCTGACACGCTCTTTCTCCTTCTCAAATCATCATTCACAATGCTTTGAAACTTATATTCTGCTTTAAAAAGAACTATTTACTTAATTTATTGGAGAGAGATGGGGGATAGACACACACACACACACACTCTCTCTCTCTCTCCCCTAACGTGCACAGCAGCTGTGCTTCGGTCAGGAAACCAGTAAGGCAATCCAGGCTTCGCAGGGAGGTGGCAGCTACCAAGCTTCTTCAGCTGTTACCTGTTGCCTCTCACGAGGCACATTAGCAACACGCTAGGACCAAGTGCAGAAGCAGAACTGTGTTATGGGACACAGGTGTCTCAAGCTGTCCTAAGTCAGGTGACCTCTTCAGGCTTATCTTTCCAAAACGTCATTTGCTTGAAGACACGACAGGTGTTCTTTCTTTAAAGTCCAAAGAAGTTTCCAGGGCAAAATAAGGAAATTACTAGGGAAAGGTTAAGCGCTGTTTGCAAAGAGAACTCAAGGGTGGCCAACCCCAAACCGATCCAAAATCAGTCCAAGTTAGGACCCGGTGTGATGAGTCTGTGCTTAAACACTTGCCTTGCAAGTGCAGAGATCCCATAGGGACACCCGTTTGTATCCTGGCTGCTCCACTCCCCATCCAGCTGCTCCACTCCCCATCCAGCTCCTTGCTTATAGCCTGGGAAAGCAGTTGAGGACCCTGCACCCGCGTGGGAGACCCGGAAGAATTGCCCTGGCTATATACTGCTTTCCCAGGCCACAAGCAGGCAGCCGGATGGGGAGTGGGCTGCCGGGATTAGAACCCGCGGCCATATGGGATCCTGGTGCATGCAAAGCGACGGCCTGCAGACTGGGCCTGGCAGAGAGTTTTCTTTCAAGGAATTAACAGTCCGTCCTGTCTGGGTTACCAGATTTTGGGTGCAAGTTTTTCATAACATTCTTTTATCACTCTTTAAATGTCCCTATGACCTGTAAAGGTACTCTTTCATTTCTGACATTAGGGTTTTTGTATCTCTGTTCCCTCTCCCCTCACCCTGCCCCTTTTATTTTAGTTACTTTGGCTAGAGCTTTGTTAATTCAGTTATGTTCAAAGAAGCACTTTTGGAGCCTGGCCCTGGAGGGCAGCAGGTTCAGGCACTGTGTGCAGCCCTGGCATCCCATCCAGGCATCAGTCTGAGTCGTGGCTGCTGAGCCAGGAACTTCACCTGGGTCTCCCCCACGGATGCCAGGCGCCCCGGCACTAGGTCAGCATCTGCTGCCTGTCCAGGTGCATCAGCAGGCAGTTGGGATGCAAATGACACAACTGGGTCTTGAACTGGCACTCTGAGATATATTGCCAGTGTTGCAGGTGTCTGCTGGAATCTGCTGTGCCACGATGCTGTCCCCCATTGATTATTGAAAGTTCATTTATTTATTTATTTAAATTGCAAAGTTAGATATACAGAGAGGAGGAGAGACAGAGAGGAAGATATTCCATCCATTGATTTCACTCCCCAAGTGACGGCAACCACTGGAGCTGCGCTGTTCCCGAAGCCAGGAGCCAGGAGTTCTTCCAGGTCTCCCACGTGGGTGCAGGGTCTCAAAACTTTGGGCCATCCTCGACTGGTTTTTCCAGGCCACAAGCTGGGAGCTGGATGGAAAGTGGGGCTGCTGAGATTTACAACTGGCGCCTATATTGGATCCTGGCACATTCACGGCAAGGACTTCAGCTGTTAGGCTACTGCACCGGGCCCTTATTTTATTTTAAAGATAGGGCAACAGATAGGTAGGAAAATGTTTCATCCACTGGTTCACTTACACAAAACTTGCAATAACTGTATTTGGGAGAGTGCACAGCCAGGAGCTAGGATCTCCCTTTGCGGTCCCACCTGGATGGCAGGGATGCAAGTACTTGAGTTATCATGGTGCCCCAGGGCACAGGTGAACAGGAAGCCGGCTTTGGTCCAAGGTACTCTGATGTGAGAAGCCTGGGTCCCGAGTCCAACCTGTGCCTTGGGACTGTGAATTTCACTAACGTTCTCTCTCTCTCTCTCTCTTTTTTTCTC